GTATTTTGACTATTAGTCAGCGTCATTCAGAAAGCACCTGTGAAATAAGATGGAAAATAAATTTAGTATATAGTTATGGAGAGGAGTTAATGTTGAGTATAGTAATGGTTTGTTTAAGAATTTATCATTGATTGCAAGATTTAAGTACCTGTCAATTTCTTATAACTATGCAGCAAAGTCCATGCTATCAGCACCAAAAGTGTACGTCATCAAGACAGGTGTTGCCAACCATATTGCAAAAAAGTATTACACTATAACAAAAGGAGAGTGTCAAATCTTATCCAGAAAATCAGAATCAAACACCTTGATATTAGAACCCAATTTCAAAATATTTCAAAACTCCCCATCGATTCGCATTTCTACCTCTAACTTAACGTTTAAAATTTGACTCCATGTTCTAATCTACCAAACTATCAGCAATCAGCAATCAAACTGAAACACATTTCCTAATGCAACACACATCCTCTTTCTACAAATAATCTATCAAATGTAACAGATTTGATAGATTCCCTTCAGAAATAAATAGGGATACAAGTTGTAACCACATTTGTTATATTTCCAGAAGAACAAAATTTAATCATAGCATATTATCAAAAACATATTTTCCTATATAGATTTAACCCAGAATTTACATATAACATCATAAACATATCCAAAAACAAATGCAAGCATTAGTTTTAAAATTAATAGGACAAACAACATTTATTGCTGCATAGCAATTGAGAGTCGTGTAGAGAGAATATATTTTAGTCTTCTTTTATCATGATTTGCTTCAGCTTGCGTTTACTGCTTTCTGGAGTTCTTGGTGCGTTGATGGGCAGTGGCAGATTGCTAGCTATATCTTTCTCGGTGATTGACATGATAAACAGTTTTGCTGAAGATGCATCCTTGTTTTTGGCAAACAACAGTTGTTTCTGAAAGATGGAAGAACTCATGTTAGATTAGATTTTTAAGGAATAAACAAGAGGTTGTAGAGTGTTTTACCTTGATGCAACGTATGTCTTGAATTTCTGCTACAGTTAGAGACAATAGTTCTTCTCCAATTTTATCTGAAATCATGGTTGTTGTTGAACCAGTATCATCCTTGATGGTTACTTCAAACTGGCATCTAAGCAAAAGTCAATACGTTTATGTTCAATAATAATTTTTTAAATTGAAAATTGTTATTTAGTTTACTAATCGTTCATATGCTCATATGTTATGCAATAAAATAATTCTACCAAACAAAGGTGGTATTTATATAACTTTACAAGAAAGCAAGGATGTTAGCCGGCTAGGAGATGTCTTATTCTTGGTAGTATGCTCTTTGACTACTTGGATGAACATCAGAATTAAAATAAAATGTAAAAGCAACCAACTCAACAGGTATCCAAAGTATTTTTCCACTACATCACAATTTATCAAAGCCAATTCTTTTGGCCTATCAAACCATAATTAAATAAGATATAAATAATCTATAACCTGTAATAATATTTTACATAAATAACATGTTAGCAGTTGCAAAACAAATGAAGTAGCTCAAGCCTTAAGAAAATTAAACTATGATACGTAAGGTTGCAGCACCTGAATATTTTATCATATTGGTTATTCAAAAAATGGAAAAAGAAAACTTCGGCATCAGTTTAGGTGTGTGTAGTGATTGAAGTGAGAGACTAAAACAGAATGAGACACTTGCTAAAAGTATGTATTAGATTGTGATAATACTATCATTACTTAATTTGCGGAATTCCTGCCAATCAAAAAATCAAGAAATGTCTAATCCACATTGCAAAAGTAAGCAATTTATTGAAAAAATATATTGAACTTCTCATGTAGACAGGAACATACTCCTGGTCACAAATTTCAATTCATTTATCTTCAGATATAACTATGAGAGGTATATTTACAAAAGAGTATAAGATCCTAATTTCACTTATACCGAACCAAAGACATGTTATCTTATTATTTGGCTTCAAAACATAAGAGTAAAGATGGGTTCTTATTAATCTAATGATGAGTTGTATTTATTGAGTAGATGTACTGTTTTGAGAAAATGAAAACAACTTTTCATCCATCTTCCAACCAAAGGTAAAAAGGGTTGTCGAACTTTCTTGATGTTATTTGATATTTTCTCTATTTGTTATTTATTGTGCATGGCTTGAACTTGTTTTATATATATTTTTCGTCTTCTGTTACTAAGACAATTGTACACCAAAGGAAAGCATCCAAGAGTAAAAAAACGCTCACTTATCCAATCCATATAAGTTTGAACAGACTAATTAATTCATGCATTTTACTTATCAAAATCATATAAGTAGTAGTAAAAACACTTTATTTGTGGAAAAGCTATCTTGTTATTCTATGATCTGCAACCAAACACGAGATAAACTCATCCTAAAATTAATCAAAGTCTCACACGGGATAAACTCATCTTTAGATATTTACATATGTGAAAACTATGAAAGTTTAGCAATTGATATTAGGAATATAAATTTTGAATTCATGACTTTCAAAATATAGCTAAATCAGTGCTAAAAGTTTTAAAAATTTAACGTACCAAATTTAATTCAAGGACGTTATGGTTATGCAGTTATTGATCCTACTGATATGATTTTCATACCTTGGTGTGAGTTGTGTTGGTCGACGGCAAGTTGTACAATAGAATGTTCTCTGTGTCCAAATCCTTGGAAATACTTTCTTGTAGTCAGAGAAGACTAAGACACAGAATTTTTGAGTTTCATTGGATATTAACAATTGAGCTTGCACGTGGAATACTTGCTCCTGTGCATACAGATGAAATGGTAAATTAGATTAACATTTCATTTCATAAAGAGATTTAAGATGTAGATGATGCATATACCAAAGATTGTTGCTGGATGTTGACAATAGGCACTATGTGTTCTTCAAATGGCACAAACAAAAGAGAGCCTATAGCTGTGGTGCTTTTTGTTGTGTATGTGTTGAGAACCGATTTTATTTCATCAGACCTGTATGTAAAAAATGTTAAAGATGAGAAAACATTTATTTATTTATGGAGAGGTGTATTTTGAATACCATGTCTTTAATGCGATAGCTTGTAGGTATGGAGGATCAATCTGGATTGTTGTACCAAATATATTTGAAAGGCTTGCATATTGTTTAATAGTTGGTGTCAATTCAATTAATATGTGTTATAAGAGATATTGTTAATATGTTTGATTTTACCTGAAGATGATTTTGATTTGGCCACTATTTTGGCAATGATTACTGGAAATTCTTGAAGTTGTTTCAGGTGTTTGAGAAGTTTATTTCCATATAGGTCGATGAATTCTTCCAAGAGAGTGAGTTATGTTGGTTTCCTCCTATTTTCATTATAAAAAGAAGAAGATAAACAGTGTTATAATAGATCATAACTTACACAGATACAAGCAAATTTGGGAAAAAGTTCACGAAAGAAAGTAAAGAAAAATGTGTTACAATTGTTGTACATACACAAATAGAATGAATATCATCAAAGTAGGATGCAACATAACATTAGAGGATGAATTTTTGCCCGCAATTGGAATTACTCAACAGCTTTAATAATTATTTATATTCTTTTTTATTCTGGTCCGCAATTATCATGGCTCAAAAGCAACATCTTTCTGATAAACATTGCATAAAAGCTAGGCTTACAAATGGTATAGTATTAATAGTGGTAATCAAGTAACATCTAAAATACCGTATATGTAAAGGAGATGGTAAGCGGGGTGGGTGGTGGAACTTGTGGTGCTTGCGAAAGGTGAAAATGGAGGGGAGACAAATAGCTAGTATATTGAATTCATATTAGATAAAAATGTTTTTAAGTAATTCGTTCATCTCAAGTGATATTTACATACAGAAACTGCTAGATATTGGCACATATTAGCAACAATTTTTTTTACCTGAAGTTGATGATCCCTTCTCTTATCGAAGGGTATTCCGTTTAGTCATAAGAAGAAGAGGAATTCTGGCTAAACAAAGATGGAGTAAGCATACTTAGATTGTTCAAATAGCTAGGTGTTTCCTTTTTTTTTAGAGAGCAACCTGTAGAATTGGCTAATTCTTCCATTAAAGTGGCTAGTTAGTGTTGTCTATGGGTCTTAGCATATTATATTTGTCACTCTTGAATACCAACAATGTGCATGACATTCCTTATAAGAATGAGCTTACAAGTTAACCATTACTATGTCGCTATAATCAAATTTGATAATATTGACAAACCTAGATCAAGTTTAATCAGTTAATCAAAAGGATAAGCAAACATTAATAACAATAGATGTGCTGCAAGTTTAAGTACACCACAATTAGATAAATCTGATATTTCAAACTATTCAATAAAATCAAAATCAGAAGATCAACCCCATCCTCCACTCCCAATTCCATAGCATCCAGTTACTGATTTGCAAAGGAAATTAGTACAATCCATGCGATAATTGGAATCTTTTTATCAAAATGTGGTAACCAACTTATCTTTTTTTCCTATTTATTTTTTTCTTTTCGCTTTTGGGCAACATTACGAAAGAAGAAGTAGATGGAGCAGAAAACTTTGTGAAATTGAGTGAAATTTTAGATCCTTAGGTCAAGCTATATACCATGGTAAGGTTACATTCAAATAGAATTGACTAATTCTTCCATTAAAGTGGTTGGTTAGTGTTGTCTATGGGTCTTGACATATTATATTTGTCACTCTTGATCAAGTTTAATCAGTCCATGAAAAGGATAATCAAACACTAATAACAATAGATGTGCTACAAGCTTAAGTACACCACAATAAGATAAATCTGATATTCAAGATATACAATAAAATCAAAATCAGATGATCAACCACATCCTCCACTCCCAATTTCATAGTATCCAGTTAGTGATTTGCAAAGGAAATTAGAACAATTTATGCGATAATTGGAAACTTTTTATCAATGTGTGGTAACCAACTTATCTTTTTCTCCTTATTTATTTTTTTCTTTTCGCTTTTGGGCAACATTACGAATGAAGAAGTAGTTGCAGCAGAAAACTTTGCGAAATTCAGTGAAATTTTAGATCCTTAGATCAAGCTATATACCAGGGTAAGGTAACATTCAAATATGAGATGCTTGCAATCACAGAGAAGGGAATTTTTTTTTTAAAAAAATTACTTTCCAAGAAAGAGGGTCAATCAGACACCTAGATCAAATTTGGACCTTCAACTTTGACGAAAACGAAGATGACATCACTATTTATTAATAAATCCAGTTATTTGACACAAGCATATAGAAAACAAAACGATATAAGATGAAAAGTAACATTGTACTTACTCATAGTCGATGATGATAAATTCTTGAATTCTGTTCCCGTTTGAGGCATATGATGGAGGACTACCATTTATCACGAGGGCAAGAATGTCTTGCAAGAATTAAAGTGTTATTAGTAAGTGGTAATAGTTATAAAAAATGAGTTATATGTCTGGTAAGTATACTGTAAATATATTTTGAGAAGTACCGACTTCAAAGCCTATAGTTTGATAATCGAAACTGTCAAACGATGTAGTTTTTAGCAGCGTTGGTGGCAGCAATGGTGGTTCAGGGGGTATGACTTTATCTATTGGTTCAACAATTGTGCCCTTATCAATTGTCCAGCTGAATTGATGAAGAGGAATTCCATACTCCTTGATCGACTCGGAGACAAATGCCCCCAATAGCAAATATGTTTGGAAAGGAACAAACTCATTTGCATAATGTGCGACATCTGTACCGTGCATGATAACTTGTATTTGAGTTTCCTATGAGAAATTTAATGAAATTAGAATAATATTAGGTAAGTGAAATAACATATAGTTGGTATAAAAATTGAAAAGTGGTTTGAATTGTTGGGAAAAGTTACTTTTTATGGGGAATATAAAATTTAAAAGATATGAGTATGAGGGGAGTTTTTGCCATGGACATGATGGTTTAATCAACAGAATGAAGGCTACAGTAAAATATGTAAGTACTGATTTTGTAGATAATTATTTAAGGAACATGACAGCAACAACATTAAGCAACACTTTTATCAGGTTTTTCTGTGCGTTTACAAAATCAGTTGAGGAAGACATTCTTTATCAAAGTCTCCTAAAGAAGTTGAGGAAGACATTATTTATCCTTCTTCATTATCTGTATAATAATATTTCATTTATTCCATAATCTTCACACTGTCGTTCCTAAAAATTTGTATGTGATTTCGTTTAAAAAATAATTCGATATGTTAAATGCAGTGATATCCGCTCAGGTTTCAATTCAATTTTTTTCTATATTTTCCAAAGAAAATCAATAGCATCGAACCTAAACAATAACGAACTTCTCTATAACACAAATTATGTCTACAAAAAAAAGAGAATTAAAATGTGGGTTTAGAGTGATAAGAAGTGCTTCATATGAAAACTGACAAGCAGTAGAACAGAACTTCAATGTAAAATCAAATCAATCAATAGCCAAATTTATTTAAAAAGGAACTTCAGAATTCAAGTTTACCTAAGTTCTACAAACAAAACCAATTATATTTAACCGAATCTGTAACTTTTTTACAACAAAAGAAACGTAAAATGTAGATTTACAGTGACAACAAGTGCTTGACAGCAAAACTCACAAGGAACAATATTTCAACTAAGTAGAAGAGCATTGAATTGGAGATTAATGAGTGAAGACAGATTACAACCATTAAAAAGCAAAGTAAAAATGGTATGCAGTATATTTATTTTGCTACAAACTAGTTTATGAAAGTAGATGAGTATTTATTAGTTTAGTGACAAATACCTTTTCATCCTGTATTATCATCAGTTAATATTTCTTGTTTCCCTCCCTGGTGGTTCGGAGATGACCTTTATCTACCACTTGAACTTTACAAATCCATTCTTCTGTGTTCTCCTCGATTTCGTTGATATTCAATCTTTCTGTCATGGCTGGTAATTGGGATTAAATATGCAAGACAACATATCATTAATAGAAGAATAATAGTATGAAATACAAAAATATATGAGATCTATTAATAGAATACAATAGGTTGTATATCATCAAAAGTGTAAGATAGTTTGACGAAAAAGCCTTTTCTATAATTTCGTCATAGACAATGTTATATGTAGATGTGTCATCGTTGTTATCAGCTATTGGTGGTCTTATGAATATCTTAACACAATTAGAACTCTTGGCTCTTGATAAAGCAACATACAATTGACCATGAGAAAAGACAGATTCACGTAAATAAATGCCAACAAAATCTAAAGTTTGGCCTTTTGCTTTATTAATTGTCATAGCAAAACACAGTCGTATTGGAAATTGTATCCTTTTAAATGGTAGAGGTAACTTTTCATCTTCTGATGTTAGTAGTGGTATTCTAGGAATGAATACATGTGTATTTTTAAAATCACCATTAGATATTGTGGCGCGGATAACGTGTGATCTGAAATCAATACATATTAAGCGTGTACCATTGCATAAACCTTCACAGGGATTTAGATTTCTTAGTAACATAATTGGACAATTTTTTTTAACGTTAATTTGTAAGGAGGTAAACCAACAGGATTCAAAGTATGTAATAAGTCTTTGTATTCACTTTGATCCTTTGGATCTATGGTCTCATCTGTAGCTAGATATGTTTTTTCAGTAGTTGGGAATTGAGTGATTAACATATCATTTATTGCGTCAACAAAATCATTTTTTGTTGTTAGAATAGCACGAGAAGTGATGAAAGAAAGATTTGAGTAAGAGGTGTGCAAATTCGGATAAGTAACTTTAAATAAAAGATTCAATGGATCTTTTTCATTCTCGAATGGTACGATTAAAGAATGAGGAATTTGAATTTTGCCTTTATCAATTTTTTTTCGATTCCATTACCAATTCTCATTAAGTATTCACAAAAGGCTGGATCTTTTTTTGCACGCATGTTTTCTAGCAATTATAATTTTTCAAGTTGATTCCAAATTTGAGAGCATAACAGCTTTGATTAGTGAAGTCTTCTCTTTTTCCACTACGAACAACAGGAAGAGTTTTTTTGAAATCCCCACTAAAAACAATAACTTTTCCGCCAAATAATATTCTTGTTTCCATTAAATATTTCAAAAGTAAGTCAAGAGCTTCAACTACTTCTTTTTTTGCCATTGAAATCTCATCACATACTATAAGTGTTGCATCACGAATTAAAGATGCCAGAGAACTTTGCTTACTGATGTTACAACTGAACTTTCCTTCGATATTTATTAGAATTTTAAAACGGGAATGAGCAGTGCGACCACCTTGAAGCAGCGAAGCTGCAACACCTGAACTTGCAGTTGTCAAAGCTATAAATCCTCTATATCTAACCGTTCCTAATAAAGCACGATATAAAAAGCTTTTACCAGTTCCTCCAGGGCCATCTATAAAGAATGCACCTGATTTATTTGAAAATATTCTTTCTAAGATTATATTGTAAGCTTTTTTTTTGTGCAGTGTTCAATTAATTTTGTAGAAGCAGATCATCTTCACTTACAGTAAGATTTCTTTCATAGTAAACATCTGTAGCTTCTTTTGATAGTGCAGATGTTTTAATTAATTCAGGAATTAATTTAAATTCATTAATATCACGACCAACTGAATGAAGAATATCATTAATATGCATTAACACCCTATAACGAATTTTCGTTGTATTAATGTTTGGAATTCTCATAAAATCCTCTGATAAGGATATTTCAAATTTTTCCCATAATTCTTTTGGATTACTTGGGCTACAATATATCAGTAACATAGCAAACAAATGTCTAAGACTTGCTGGCATTTGATAATCTACAGCCTCAGACATACATTTTATTAAATTATTATCTGAAAGCAATAATCCTCTTTTTTCAGCTGCTTCTCTAAATGTTGTACATAAGTTTCCATTAACCATTAGAAAGTCTTGATATGATTTTGGTCCTCTTATGTTCATTAAAAGTAATCTAAGGTAGTATCTTTCTCCTTCAGTAGGATGACAAGGACAACACGTCCAATAGCATTTCCACGCTTACGAATTGTCCACATTTTATCTGTTTTTTACCAGACAAAATATTCAGGAAATTCGCGATATAATAAGTTTAAATTTTTAGCTGTATCATTCACTATGTTCATTACAAAAAATTCAGTTAACATTGTATTTTGAATCATTGGATTATTAATAATTTTACTAATATTATCAATACTTTTGAACGAAACAAGTTGTTGTCCATCAAGATGTAGTTGAAGATGGTATACATTAGGAGACATTTCATTGATATTAAAGGCAAATATACGCCACGCTGCTTCAGGCGCGAAAACCCATGTAGCTGATTGATATTCTTTTATCTCATCAATTTTTATATTTATATCATTAGTATGAATCTGGAATGCGATTTTATCATATCCTTTCCATATGTACTTATAAATGTATTTAACTACTTTGATATCTGAACAAATCTCAACGTTTATATGACAATTATATTTGGATAATAAAAAGGAATTATAAGGGAAAACCCATGAATTATTAAGAAGATGTTTTCTAATCTCCACATAGTTTTCTGTATTGCGTCTTCTATAAATAGGGTATGAACTTTTTCCTTTTGTCGTTTCATGAGCAAGCTCTTTTGGATACTTAAACTTACAATATCCTTTTTTAATACAAGGACTTGTTGGATTTAGTTCACCGCAAGGTCCATGAATCATGTGTTGTGTAAAGAGTGAATATAGGTGAGGATTTACAGTAGGATTTGGTAGTTCTGCAGAAACAAATCGATCATAGGCTTCAGGTGTAAGTATTTTGAATCTTTCATAAAGTATAATTAGAAAATGAGCATGAGGAAGTCCTCGTTTCTGAAATTCTAGTGTGTACATATATGCCTAGACTTTACCGAATATGTGTTTCTTTAACAAATCCTTTTTTAGTTCCTCTAATTTTGCATGAAATACTCGACAAATTAAATCGGGTCTATTTTGTGCTTCATCACTTGCTAGTAGATTTTCTTTGATCTCTGGCCAAAAGGAGTTACATGTAATGGTTAAAAATATATCAAGTCTTCCAAAACGCTGAACCAATGCAATTGCATCCATGTATCGTCTACGCATATCTCTTGGCCCTCCTGTAAAGCTAAGTGGGAGAAATTTGTGTTTACCTACTTGTGAAGCATCTCTTTCACCTCGTCGTAGAACATCTAGCAATCCTCCTAATACATCTGTTCTATATAAATCCGGATTGAAAGAAGCAAAATCTAATCGTTGAGTTTCAATTTTTATCCATTGGTCAACAGTGTATTGTTGAAATAGTCTTCCTAAATGTAGAATTATATTTTCATCATCTCGCATTTGAAGTTGATAGCAATAATATTCACGACCGGAGACACTATTTCTTTTAAGCTTTCCTTTTTGCATAACTTCAACTTCTATATCAAGAAATCCATCAATTGTAGTCATATTTGTTATGCTTGGTAATTGTTCATTTTCACAATATTTTGTCTAGAAGAAAAAGCACCTAAAGGTTCAACTTTCTGAATACCACAATGCCATCCATTTTGACCATATGGAAATAACAGTGGATATTGCAATGGATCATAACAACCGTAATAATAATTTACCAATTGACTCCTATTGCTATTTGTATATACACGAATATGAGGGGTGAGTGTATAGTTTTGAGTATCTTGCTCTACCCATATTCCAGCAACTTCTGATGCAGTTAGTAAGTTGTACACTCTTTGATCTAAACCAGCATCGGATTTTAGAGCAATGAAGAAGTTAGATAATTATG